CTTATTTTAATAATATTTGCTAGTTCAAAAAAAATCTATCCATCTAATAGTCTATCTCTTTTATTAGGCTTTTTACTTTTGCACTCCATCCTATTACACTCCATTTTATTTTGATCTAGATTAATCATCATTTGACTTAATTTTAATGGTTACCTTATACTACATTTAAAGACTTAAACTCATCTTTTTGTTTTTATTACTGCACGTCTTTTTTTTATTTTATTTCTTTTTATTTATTTATTACAATAAGATAGTTTTCAACAATAAAGATTAAAATCATATTTTATTATTTTATTTTGTTTCCATATATATAACCTTTTACTGAGTTTTCAAACAATTTTATTACTACACGTTTTTTGACAAAATTTTGAAAACTTAATTTTTTTAATTAATAATAAAAGGCATACATTAAAAAATAATAATAGACTAAAGTTATATAACATAAATATATTTATTATTAGGTTATATACTGTGTAAAAGAATAGAAAAAGGTTTATATGATTTTATTAATAGTTTTAATATTTTCTTTTTGAAATGATATATTTAGATTTTTTTTTTTAATTTTGTAGTATTATTATTTTATTTTGCAAATATGTCTCATAAATTTATTTTTGTAATATTTTTATTAATACAAATGTTTATTAACATTATAATTATGGGCTTCTAAAAATACAACCAACTTTTCTTAAAACAAATTAATGACAAACACCTTTTGATATGTTTTTTTATTTTATGTTATGGTGAAGTTTTCTACAGCATTGTTTGCCGTTAGCAAAAAAGGAATAGTTTTTTTTAATTATAATTTTAAGGTTTTTTTAAAAATTTTGGTAATTATAATCATTGATATGTAAGTTAGTAAAATTTAGAAAATAATAAAGTTAGTAAAATTTAATTGAATATAACAAAACAATAGTAAAGTTTGAAAAAAAAAATTAACTATTTGCACAAAAAATTATGAGAAACTTATTTTCTGGATAACTTTTTTTTTTTTTTTTTTTTTTTTTTCAATTTTAGATATGTCAACTGTTTTATACTTTTTTAGTTTTAGAATATATATATATATATATATATATATATATATATATATATATATATATATATAGAGAGAGAGAGAGAGAGAGAGAGAAGAGAGAGAGAGAGAGGAGAGAGAGGATTTTTTTTTCAAACACAAGAATATAATAATTAGAACCTTTTATTAATATCAATGATGAGTTAATTATGATTTAAAATAGAAATAATAATAAACTTTTAATAGAGTGCAGTGTCTACAGTACCATTCTTTTTATTATCTAGCCTAATCATTTGATTTATTTTTATCATTACTATATTATATTACATTAACTTTATATTTAATTATTACATTATTATTTTACTAACTTCATTATAACCAAAAAAAATAATTATTTTACTAATAAAGTAATTATTTTATTTTTTTCAAACCTATAACATAAAATATGTTAAACAAAACGTTTTTATATATTTTATATATTTTTTGTATGTAATTTATTAAAATCATTTTTATATAACGGTTTAAAATTACAAATATAGAAAAAAAATTATACTAAACTAAAAAAAATAATTTAAATAAATTTAATAAATAAAACATTAAAAAGACTAGTTTTGTTTAAATAAAATGCACATATTTTGTTAGCTCCTTACACACACACACAAAAAAAAAAAACACTAATATCTTAACAGACCGTCAAACTTTCTCTCGTCACCTTACAATAAAAAACATTGGTTTATATTACCATTGTCGGTCGGCTAAGAACCACCGTCTTAACCTCTTTTATGTCTCTCTCCATCCCCCCCCCCCTCTCTCTCTCTCTTTCACATACACACACATTCTCTCTCTCTCTCTCTCTCTCTCTCTCTCTCTCATTTCGACCAGGTGGCCGAAGATAAGTTGTTGGAGTTGGTCATGGTAGTGGTTAGTGGCGATGTTAAGTCGCTGATAGTAAATGATGATAGTGGTCGCCGGAGGTTGTAACATAATCTTTAATGATTAAAGATTAAAGGTATAAAATAAAACCGATGAAGTTAATCATGGTAGATTTAAAACAAAAAAAGTTGTCGGAGTTCGTCACGACACATTTATGTATGTATGATATTATATAAAAAAAACAAATTAAAATCACAGAGTCAACCATCACAATTTCAACTATTAAGAAAATATGTAAAAACTGAAATTTTAAGCTTTTTTGGAAATAACTATAAACCTAAAAAAGAGAGTAATAAAAATTAGTCAACTAGGATACTAGATTGGTATCTGGGGTTTATTAAGGTGATGTGTAGAAAAAAAATTATCTTTTCTGAATTGTTATTTAATACTGATTATCTATAATTCTTAATATATTCTTTTTTGTATTTTTTTTATGTGATTCAATGTATAATAGCGTATGATTTTATTGTGTTTACTTTTAATGTCCAAGTTTCTCAAACTTAACAAAAATAATCCTTCATATTTAAAATCTTAATTTAACCCTAAGATATAATTTCTAATAGTATTAAAGCTTTTAAATTCACTAACACGTATTTATTTCATTTATTTATATAATTTATTTTATTTGTTTGTTTTTAATTTAGTTATTTGGTCAACAATTAACTTTTACTATAAAGGACAAAAATATTAATCCCCAAATTCACGTGTTACACTCATTATATAGCAGGTAAGCCAATATAGATTGATAATTATTTTGACATAAAGTAAAATCCAAGTCAGAATACATAGTGATCTCATAAACATTTGATCTCCTATATATGAGCATGCCTTTTCCAACATGATCAATTTTATTCTCAACATCAACATATAAAACTAGAAAGATATATTTATTCTTACTGAACTTGTGATAAACAAAATCATCTAGCATATTTATCCGAAAACCAAATGAGATAATGATTTGAAGAACCTATGGTACCACAAACGAGATCTGGTATGTCGAGTTTATTCATTCTGAATAGGTTATTGAATAACATTTCCAGTCCAGGTTATTAAATTACATATTCATCAATATGTACATAAATATGCACAATATTAGAAGCAATAATATGAATCAAAATTGTTTTCTCATTAAGAACGTAATTTTTGTCCATATTTCTCTCTAAACTCGACGTCCTAAAAAACATTACGCTTAATGATAACAAAACCCATGTAATTTGAGCGATCATATTTCCCATGACTCTTTTATCCTCAAATTAACTTCATCAGGTAAGGAGGGGGTTACTCTATCCGAAGTGCAAGGTGAAAATCTATGCAACCGAGAACTCACATGATGTTTACTTTCCATTTCTTAAAGTCAATTTCATTAGTCATTACCACACCATTTCACCCTTTAGTGCATCTTAGCACCTTGGGAATGCAAATATATAACACCAATCGCATTTATGTACACTTGGATACAAGAAAATCATCACTAGAAAAAAATGTTTAACAATACTACTTAATCAATGTATGTTTGTATGTTCTGGAAAGCTTTTAAGCCTTTAAGAACATGAAGCATTACTAGATATCGTTTAAGAAAGAGTATGGTTATTTATTACAAAATTTATCTTTCTTTCACTCATTGATCATCAAATGAGGTTAATATGCAATTTTTTTTATAGGTGTTGTGTTAGTCATGGCTTTTGATGATGATACGGTTGATGAAGAAAACTTGAAGAATGTTGAAAAATCGGGTACCGATGAACTCGACTGGTCGCTAAATCTTAACAATTTCGAACTGAATCTATTTCGTGAGATTATCAGCATCGGTGATATCGCCACAGTACTACAACTGCAACACCATCAATCAAAATCGCAAGAAAACTCAACAAATTTTCCGGCAACGGGTACGACTGCAACTCCTCCTGTAGACGTGGCAATGAACATTGAATTCACAGCAAGGCAATGCAATGAGATGGTGGTTTCCGGCTAAAAGGATCGCCGACCTCCGCCACAATTACTGCAAAAGACGAGGTACAGAGGCGTTAGTCTACGACGGTCAAGAAAATTCTCGGCTGAGATATGTGCACAAGGTAGGAGGCTGTGGCTGGGGATGTACGATACGGCAGAGGAAGCTGCTATAGCGTTTGATCGAGCAGCTTTTAAGGAACGTGGATCACATACCGTTCTTAACTCTTGGGCTCGGCCGATCGCATGCACCACACCCTTTTCTCGTTTTCAAAAACTATTTTCTTTTCAAGTCTCACTTTTTTTTTTCAAATTCCTTTTGAAAACATTTTTCTTTCGAAAATCTTTTTACTATTTTCTTAGTTTGAGTTCAGTCACACCCGTAAGTGTGCCTGAATCCCTTAAACCTAGGGTCGGATACCAACTTGTAACGACCCAAAATACGACCCAAATTTTTTTGTTTAAATAGTACTAAAAGCTAACAATCATCCATAATATATAATGAAACTGTACGTTACAAATCCCAAAAAGTTATAATAGACGTTTCATGACAAGAGAACTGTATCAACATATCATAGTATCTGAAACAAACTCCCAAGATAAAAAGTTGAAGTTGTGGTGTGTGCGATGTCATCATCATGACCTCTTCCCTTTGCTAGCGGAAGTACCTGAAACCAAAACTGATAACTGTAACATATAAAGCACATACTGGGCCTTGCCCACTGCATCGGACCGGAATCCGGAAACTGCATCGGATCGAAATCCGGAAACTGCATCGGACCGAAATCTGGAAACTGCATCGGACCGAAGTCCGGAAACTAACCAGGGCCTTGCCCTCTGCATCGGACTGAAGTCTGAAAACTGCATCGGACCGATGTCCGGAACTAACTGCATCTGACCGAAGTCCGAAACTGACTGCATCAGACCGAAGTCCGGAACTGACTGGGACCTTGTCCCCTGCATCGGACCGAAGTCCCGAACTGACTGAACATAACATAGCATAAACATATCAACTAGCATGAACACATATACTACATACTGCATCGGACCGGTGTCCGAAACATATAAAACAAAACATGCTTGAATCACAAAGACATCAAGCACTCTAACTACTGCATTGGGTCGAGGTCCGGAACTACTGCTAGCAAAATGGGCCGGCATTGTGGCCGTAGACCCGTTCCTACTGGAAGGAAACTCACCTCGTAATGCTGGCTGCTGAGATGTTAACTCTAAAAGTGGTTGACTGCTGCTCCGGAACTATCCGACTACAAATCCCAAAAACACTAGATCAGGTACTTATAAATGCCCTCAGGGTAATATGAATATTTTACCTCTGGTCAAAGTCAACTTCCAGTTGACCGGACTCGTCGAGTCAGGGCGCAGAATCGTCGAGTCCCTCCATTACTAACTCTGACTTTAACTCACCGAGTCCCTTCCCCACCCACTAGTTCACCCAGAACTCACAAATCGAAGAAAGACGGGGGACTCGCGACTCGACTCGTCGAGTCCAAACAACTTGCCGAGTTCTAACGTGCAAATTTCATACAATCGATTCTAATCCTTTCCAGAGCATGTAACTCGTAGATCTAAGCTCCCAGGACCATCTGAACACGTAAAGTTGCTAAATTTATGTGTAATTAAGAAGGAATGAAGCTATTTCGCTTAAACTCTACTTTAATCGGGAAAACACATCCAACTCGTCGAGTTGTATGAACAACTCGTCGAGTCTAAGGCAATCTTCATCAAACTCGCCGAGTTGCTCATCCCACTCGCCGATTCCACGGCTATCTTCATATGACTCGTCGAGTCACCCTTGCGACTCGCCGAGTCCATTCAGTCCTTTTTCCATACATACTTGATTTGAGCCATGCAGCGGCTCCAAATCACAGATCCAAGCTTCTAGGCATGCTTATCACGTAAAGTTGCAAACTTTACATACATGCATGGCTTTAAAGGCCTCAAATGCCAAATCTAGGCTCTTAATGGGGTTCCAAGCTCAAGAGGGACCTCAATCACGACCACACCTGAAACTTTACACTTCTAGAAAGCAATGAGGGTCCAGATCTGAAGTATAACCCGATCATAAGGCTTTATCACAAAGGATTGGGGGTTTTTGGGCTTAAAAGCACAATTTGGGGACAAACAAGATCTACTAGATCAATAAGCAAGATGGATACTTTATTACTAGAAAAGATGACCACAAATGAGTGTGTTCTGAATCTACTTCCTCTTCCTTGAACTCTTCAACCTTCTCCTTCTTCTACTTGCTCCAAAAGTTCCTTCACAAAGTAACAATCACTCACACACTCTTTAAGGGGGCTAGGGTTCGGTAAAGGATGCTCTAAGGGTGATGGAGGCGAGGTTGGGGTGCATTAATGTGTTTAAATAGGGTGCAAACCCTTAAAATTAGGGCTTCATCCAGACAGGTGGACTCGCTGAGTCCTAGCGTATGGACTCGTCGAGTAGCCAACTTAATTTGCGTGATCATCCCGTCTCTACTCGACGAGTCGGACTACAGACTCGTCGAGTACCCCTTAAGAAATAAAAATACTTTATTTAAATCACATACCAGAAATGAGGCATTACAACTCTCCCCCACTTATTAGACTCCATCCTCGAAGTCTGCTGCTGCTGCTGTATCTGAAAATAATTCTGGATAATGCTCCCTCATCGCCCCCTCGGACTCCCACATCCACTCTGAACCCTTTCGGTGCTGCCACTGCACCTTCACTAATTGAACCACCTTGTTCCTCAAGGTCTTCGTCTTTCGATCTAAGATCACCACTGGTCTCTCGATATAATTCAGGCTGCTATCAATCTGAATATCCTCCAAGGGTACAACTGCTGACTCATCCACCAAACACTTTCTCAACTGAGAAACATGGAAATTGTTGTGGATCTGGCTAAGCTTTGCGAAAGATCCAACCAATAAGCAACCCGACCCACCCGGGCCAAAACCCTAAAAGGACCAATAAACCTGGGTCCCAACTTTCCCCTCTTCCGAAACTTGGTAACACCCTTTCAGGGTGATACCTTCAGGAGGACCATATCGCCCACCTGAAACTCCAAGTCCGAACGCCTCCTGTCGGCGTAACTCTTCTGCTTGCTCTACGCAGTTTGCAGTCTGCCACGAACCTGCTGGATCAATTCTCTGGTCTTGAGCACCACCTCGGTGCTCTCGATGACTCGCTGACCGACCTCGCCCCAACAAATCGGGGTCCTGCACTTCTTTCCGTAGAGCATCTCGAAAGGAGGATGGTTAATGCTAGCGTGGTAACTGTTGTTATACGAAAATTCTGCTAGTGGAAGATACGTATGCCAACTACCACCGAAGTCTATAACACATGCCTGGAGCATGTCCTCGAGCGTCTGAATCGTCCTCTCGCTATGCCCGTCCGTTTGGGGGTGGAAAGCGGTGCTAAAATGAAGACGAGTCCCCATCTCGTCATGGAACCGCTTCCAAAATCTCGAAGTAAAACAGACGTCTCGGTCTGACACTACCAAAACAGGAACTCCGTGTCGTGCCACTACCTTGCGCATATAGATGTCGGCTAGCTTCTCAGCCAGTATGCTCTCCTGGATCGGTATAAAATGCACGCTCTTGGTCAGCCGATCCACTATGACCCAAATCAAATCCACTCCCCGTGCAGTCCTTGGAAGCTTAGTGATAAAATCCATGGTAATATCCTCCCATTTCCATACGGGAATGTCTAACGGTTGCATCTTGTCGTGGGATCTCTGGTGCTCTTTCTTGACCTTGCTGCAGGTCAGGCATCTCTACACATACCAGGCGACATCCCGCTTCATGCAGGGTTGTCACACCCCGAAACCGATGGTAGAAACGTTCAGGGGCGGAGGACGTCATGTAAAGTATCACAACCAATGTACATAGCAAGCATAGTAAACACAAAAATTACATTACATAGGAATATTTACATTTGTTTGAAAGTAAAGTAATACATGTTTTATCTATACATTAGTTTGAACAAAATACAGACGAGACTTCTATACGCTCCGTCTTCTCCAAAAGATCATGGGGGTACCTGTCTAACGTGAACCTGAGAATACAAGCAGTTTGAAAATCAGCATAAAGCTGGTGAGTTCATAAGCGGTTTGTTTTATGAAAATGAACAAGTTTTCTTTAGTTTTTATGAAACAGTTGTTATCCAAGAAAATCCCATATTTTCTTATAAGTAAGTTTTGGTTATCCATTTGTTACACAATCTAGTTAGGAACAGTTTGTTATCCAAGAAAATCCCATATTTTATTATATGTAAGTTTGGTTATCCGTTTGTTACACAATCTAGTTAGGAACAGTTTGTTATCCCAGTAAAAACCATTATTTTCCTTAAAAATTGGTGGTTGGTTATTAGTTCGGAATGCAATGTACTAGTATCTACCATACTTGTAGTATTAAGATAAGTGTTCTGAAAGCCTGGATATCCTATATACGAATGTCGAATGTCTACTATACTTAACAGTAATTTTATTTTCAAAACTCTAATTTCGCTCAGAGGCATATATTAATGGACGAAATTTCGAAACTTTGGTGAGACTCAGAGACGTACACTAGCTGTATCTTCGAAGTTCTGGTGACATCCAAAGGCGTATTATAGGCATATTTTTGAAACTCTGGTGACACTCAGAGACGTACACTAGCTGTATTTTCGAAGTTTTGGTGACATCCAAAGGCGTGTTTTAGATTTATTTTCGAAACTCTGGTGACACTCAAAGACGTACATTACCTGTATTTTCGAAGTTCTGTTGCCATCCAAAGGCGTATTTTAGACTTATTTTCGAAACTCTGGTGACACTCAAAGACGTACATTACCTGTATTTTTGAAGTTTTGGTGCCATCCAAAGGCGTGTTTTAGGCGTATTTTCTTAGCAATAATCCTAGTTTATGATTAGTATGAATCCTTCGTAAATTATAAAACATAACATAAATTATAATATTTTATAATGAGATTTACAATTAGTTTGAAAACTAACCCTGCAAGTTAAATGGTTGGTTAAAACGGTTTC